TGATTAATGATTTATTTTTAATCGTTCGTACTTCTATATTTAAATTCTTGGAAAGCTGAATATTTGTCTTGTTTGGAGTCATAGATGTTCCGAAATTGGTTTCAATAATGACAGAATATGTTCAATCATGTTATTCATTGTTTTTGTTTTCCTAGGAGGAAAATGTATATGTAAAAATATGGACATTGAAATAAAAGATAACATTTACAATTGTGATGATGACAGTACATCTAATCAAGAAATAATGGTGATGAAAACAATAATGATGTACAAAAAGAAATATCATGTAAACGTCACCATAGTAAGAAAAAAAAGAAAATACAAAAATAAATAAACGATAGGCTACATAATCAGAACTATTTGTAATGATAATGTTATTAATGATTATTACAAAAATATATATCAATCATAAGTGATAATGAAGACGATTATGGCAATGGCAATAATAATAACAATAATAATAGTACCAATAACAATAATGATAAACATAGCTCTTGTAAAAATGACATCAGCACTGATATAATTAATCTTAAAAAAATCCTACTATTATAGCTTCTAGTGATGCCAGTACTAATACGAATGATAATATTAATGATAGTAACAATAATCTTGGGTTCCATGATCACATACCACACCGATACAAGTAACGTTTTTGCCGTCGTTATAAAGTATGCTTCCCGCAGCGCTATCTCGCCCACGCACACCCTCTCGACGCTCGCTCCTCACTGCAACACTGGCGCCCGCGTAGCCCAAACCGCACGCCCGCACGCACTCGAAACCACACTCACTCGTTCTCCGCTGTTACCCTCATCAGGCTGGTCGTCGCCGCTAAACCTTGCGGATCAGTGCGCACAGCTAGCGTCTTTTGTTGCATGGCTAATGGAAGGAGTCATTTAAATGCATCCGTGAGATCTTGTGGTGATTTTCGGTTGTTCGTTCCTGTGCTTCAGTGCTTCGAATGTTTCTTTTAAGGTTCAGGCTGTGTTTTCTTAGCGGTGCACTGGGTGATGTTCGGCTGCTTAATGTAGATATTGTGACTTGCATTACTTCTGTTTGGGAATACGCTTTGTATATGGGCTACCTGTGTGTGTGTGTGTGTATGTGTGTGTGTGTGTGTGTGTGTGTGTGTGTGTGTGTGTGTGTGTGTGTGTTTGTTTGTTTGTGTTTGTGCGTGTGTATGTGTGTATGTATGTGTATGTGTGTGTGTATGTGTGTGCGCGTGTGTGTGTGTGTGTGTGTGTGTGTGTGTTTGTGTTTGTGCGTGTGCGTGTGTGTGTTTGTGTTTGTGCGTGTGTTTGTGCATGTGTGTGTGTGTATGTATGTGTGTGTGTGTGTGTGTGTTTGATATCCGTTACAATCGACCCTCCCCTCTCCAGCATCTCCCCCATTCCCTGTTCCTCCACCCCTCCTCCCTCATTCACCTTCCATTCCTAAATCTCTTCAGTGGAAAAATCTGTGTCATGTGACTAAACACCGTGACCACTGGGGCGAAGAGTCCAAGATTTGACCCTCCTCTCCCTCCCCCTCCCCTCCCTCGATCTTTCCCTGTTCCCTCCCCCCTTCCTATCCCCTGCCCCCTTCCCTTCCCCTCCCCATTTCCCCTCTCCTTCCCTCCTTCCCCCTCCCCCGACACCTCCTTCGCCCATCACGATACTACACACTCCTCTCCCCCCCCTCCATCCCGCTTCCACTCCCCTCCCCTCCTTCCTGCTCCTACACCCTCCCCTCCATCCCCCTTCCCTCCTACTCCTTCCCCTACATCCCCCTCCCTTCCCTCCATCCCCCCTACCCTTCCCTCCATTTCCCACCCCTCCCCTCTTCCCTCTTCCCCTCCCCTTCCCTCCATTTCCCTCCCCTCACCACTGCTCCTTCCCCCTCCCACATCCCCCCCACACCTCCTTCCCCCTCCCTTTAGCCCTCCCCCTCCCCCTCCCCCCCTTCTCATCCGCAAACCATGACCGAGCGGAAAACCTAACTGTTTCCAAGGTGAATAAACGCAAGTGAAGCCTGTCACCCGAACGAAATCATTACCTACTTGTTTATGTCGTGATTACGTTTTTTAGTTTGTATGTTTGTTTGTTTGTGTGCTTGCTTGTTTCTTTTTGCATTATTGTGTGTCGCAGGTCTGTTTGGTTTATTATCGTCCTTGGTATAGCTGTTATTATCATTTTAATGTTGTTGTTGTGTCATTAGTGTTACTGCTAAGGTTGTTAATAAGAATAACAGTAATGATAGTCTTAATGATAATGATACCGAAATGTTCGCACATGGACTACTCTCTCTCTCAAGGTATCTGTCTGTTTAATTATCCTATGCATCTACCCATCTATCTATTCATCTTTCCAATTATCTAGCTATCTATACGTGTATAGACAATCATCTGTATAAACAGTACAGATATATCTAAGGCGGAAGCACTATAATTCTCACTCGAAAGATACCATAAGCAGAGGTTGTGCGAATAACCAACAGTCACAGTGCGAATAAACTGTATATCTAG